CCAACATGATTTCACATCGGAAAATTTATGAATTCTAGTAGTGATGTTGCATCCAGTGGAGCTTTGCCTGTTGTTGGACAAGGCTAGCATGAACAGTAACCAGAGCTTGGTATTTCTACCTAGCAACGTTTTCCTCTTCAATTTTCATTATATCAAAAGGTTGTCGTGATAACTCCAATTGAGCCCTTCGTAGATCCTCCTGCGCCAATAACGCCCGATCATACTGCCCTTTGTCTTTCTCCCTACGTATTTTTTTAGTTTTTGTTTTAATTGTTTTAATTTCTAAGTAAAAACATAGGTGTGCCTGTAATATCCATTCGCCATACTTTCTCAACCGTTGGGAAAAAGGCAGGATCCTTAATCCAGAGATCACAAAATTTAAACGTTCTTCCAATTGATTTAGTCTTCATCACATGCACCAAACAGGGGGAATGATCTGAGCTAGCTGGCATAAAAAATTCACCTTTTTAACTTGGTACATGTATCTTTCCTCATTTCTCTTTCTTAAGCTGATACTTTTTCCGTATTATTTTATATTTTCATTATTTTTTAAATCCATTTCACCTTTACTCTCTAATATTTGTTTTCATATTATTTCACACTTTCATTATTTTTTTGAATCCATTTCACTTTTAGTCTCTCGTATTGTTATTGTGTGTTTCTATGTGTACATGTATATATCTTTTTAAATCCCTCTCAATATTAGTAATTTATTTTTTATTATTTTTTATTCTTTATTCTCTCCTCACTGCTATTCTTTCTTAATCTTATTCATTTTTGTGTATGTATCTGTCTATTTTTTTTTATCAACATCCTTCTATTGTTATATATCTTTTTTTAACCCATTTGCCTTTCTATCTCCCCAAATGTTTTCAAGTCAAAACATAATAAATATGAATTATTAGTATTATTCTCCATAGCTACTTAATTTTTCATTTACCTTTAGTCGACCTTTTATTAATTTTCTTGAGACTCCATCTCTCAACTTCTCCTCACAGTTTGCCTGTATCAAATTTAGTTA